CCTGTAATCCCAGGAGTTTAGGAGGCTGAGGCAGAAGGATCATGAGTTCAAAGCCAGCCTCAGCAAAAGCAAGGTGCTAAGCAATTCAGTGAGACTCTGTCTCTAAAGAAAATATAAAATAGGGCTGAGGATGTGGCTCAGTGATCAAGTGCCCCTGAATTCAATCCCCAATACTCCCCCCCAAAATATGCAGGTACAATAAAGACATTGTGTAAAATTAGCTTTGTGTATAAAGTATATGTGAAACACAAATGAATTCCAAGTTTAAACTTGGGTCCTATATCCAGGATATCTCATTAGGTATATGCAGATATTCCCCAATTTTGTTTTTAATTTCTAAATCTGAAACACTGCTAGTTCTAAGCATGTTGAATAAGAGATGCTCAAGCTGTAATGTATGTCAGAAGACATAGGACTAGCACAGGAACTCATGGTTTTGGATGAGGTTAAAATGATTTTTAAGTTAGGCAATTTCTTTTTTTAAAAAAAGGAAATTTGACAAAAGATTGTATGCAGATAAGAAAAAAATCGGCGAGGTGTAATGAGTTTTGGTGAACATGGGGTCCTGGCCCAGCGAGCCACCTCAGCCTGCCTGTACCTGTAGTCACTCTGCCTGATTGCTCAGCATTTCCTGCATGCCAGAAGGAAAAAATGGTGGCCTTCTCACCATTCCCAGACCCACTGAGAGGGCTCCTGTGTCAATCCTATCATTGCTCCACTCCTGCCGCCTACGGCCTCCATCATTTCTTCATATCACGCACGATATTTAGAAGCTTTGAGCCTCTGAAGATTGTATTTCAAACGTGCAACACCTTACTTTGACCTACTTTGAGTTTTGATGGATTTTTTTAAAAATTATCAATATTATAACTGATTTCTTCAGTGTTCATCCCGAGAAGGAAGTAACTGATGGGGCTTGACTTGTTATTTATTTATTTATTTATTGGTACCTGGAGTTGAGCCCAGGAGCACTCAACCACTGAGCTAGGTTTCTGGCATCTTTCAATTTTTTTTAAAATTTTGAAACAGGATCTCACTAAGTTGCTTTGGGCCTTGCTAAATTGCTGAGGCTGGCCTCAGACTTGCAATCCTCCTGCCTCCCGAATCCCTGGGATTACAGGTATGCGTCACCACGTCAGGCTTGAAGTGACTTCTGGTCTTATCACCTGGACTGACTAAAGCAGGAGGAGTCATCTCCTCAAGGGGCAAATGGAAGGGATCCAGTTTCTTAAATCACAGAGAATTCTGGCGGTGGAATCTGCCCGCAAAATGACCTCTGATCATTTCTTTATTTTTGTTTCTCTTTCAGATTCATCTGAGTAGACAATACTCTGTGTGGGGAACACAGTGTCCCACGTTAACTTTTTTTTTTTTCTTTCCCCCTGGGTTTTCAGGCTGATTTCTTCCTTGCCAAATTTCTGAGTCCATGGAAAAATTGTTCCAATCCTTTGAGTGTCATTAATAAAATTATGATTTAAGTTCTGTCTCCCAGGATATTCTGATGGAGAAACCACAGATACATAGTTAGGACCTTTCATGCTTTTGTCTGAAAGATGCTACTTGTATCTGAATAAATAGCTTATCATCGTTATCAGACGAAGGAACAAGATGTAAAAGCAAAGTTTCTGTTTTTAAGGATGTTGTGAATTTGTTTACCTGGATCCTTCCCCGGCAAGCAATGAGTAAGCTTTGGCATGAATGCCTTCCACATTTAAAATATTAATAAATCCCGGGTGCCAAGTTACTCTCTCGGCGTGTCTATAATTTCCCTTATCCTGCCATCTAAGAGAAGCTTTTATGCCAAGAGCATCTTCCGGGATAAATGGTGACCTCAGCAGAAGGGACGACTCTCAGGTTGTGTTTCACGTATGGACAAATCAATAGCCCCGGACCCGCCAGCCGTCCCTCTCCCCTGGCTCGACATTGAGCTTCGGCCCCACAGAGGCTGTGTTCATGCCTGTTCGTCTCTGTGGGTATATGTCGTAAAGGAGACTTTGGATTAATTAGTACCAGGGACTTATTTCCAGGTGTGTCTTCATCGAGATCACAATTCTGTTTGGAGGCGAGAATCCAATTTGGGAGGGAACAGGGGAAGAATGAGTGGAGAGGCCCAGCTTTGTCCTTTTGGGGTAAAGTGACGACAGGGGCTAGGACTGGGGGATACAGGTCTGAGAGCACAGGAGGTGCCATGGTACTGGGGCTTTATTTGGGGAGAGAGAGAGCAATGTGCCCCAGCTTTCTCAGTCAGAAAGAAAGAAAGAAAGAAAGAAAGATGGCCCAGCATCTCCCCTAACTATGATTGCCTTGTTTTATTCGGATGTCAGATCAGTCTAAAGGATGTGAGTCTTATTCGAGAGCTCGTGATAAAGCTCGAAGTGAAGGCACTAGACCCTCCTTATCTTCAGTTTTGATCTGAGGTTTCAGTACCCACCTGTGGTCTAGAAATTATTAAATGGAAAATTCCAGAAATAAACAGTTCTTAAGTTTTAAATCGCATGCCATTCTGAGTGGCGTGATGAAATCTTGGGCCGTCCTGCTCTATCCTGCCTGGGACATGAATCATCCCTTTGTCCTGTACAGCCACACTGTGTGTGCAATAGACATTGATGGATCGAGAGAGAGAAAGAGAGGGAGATCACATTCACATAACTTTTATTACAGTTTATTTATTATTGTTTTATTTAATTACGAGATATAGTTATTTATCTCTTAAGTGTGCCTAACTTATAAATTAAACTTCAGCAAATATATAAATACATACAGAGCTTGCCACTGTGCATGGTTTCTGGCATCCATGGGGGTCTTGGAACACATGCTCGTTCATAAGATGAGACCACTGTGCTGATGGGATGGAGTATTTCAGCTTTCTGTGCTGAAGTAACCCTTGGCTATTGACCCAGCAGAGTGCAGATGGGTGCGTTCTAGAAGCATGGTAACTGTTTTTTGCTTTTGTCTACCCAGCCCCCAATGTCTTATTAAACTTTGGGGTAATAGTACTCCAATTTCCTTCTAGAAAGGATCTTTCCCTTTCCCCTTTGGGTTTAGCTTTACTAGGCTTGTCAACCAAAATATGGTATGCATTTAGTAGAAACTGTATTTCAAAGTTTGAATTTCTATCTTTTTCTGGGTTAGTGATATACAATATGATAATCCCTCAAGATGCTGGATGACAGTGGTAGTAAGGCACAGCTCCCAGTCAACTACAAGATCACAAGAGGAAACAACCAATATGTACCTTGTCACTAAGTTGTCACATTTGCTAAGTTCTGCATATTCAATGCATTTTGATTCATGGTATCCTGAATTTATAATGTGATTTTTTGGGACATTGCTCCATTGTTTAGAGGAGTGTCTGTAGTCCCAGATAATACGTGAGAAAATTGAGTTCTAGACGTGACAAAATTTGGTCAAGGTCACCCTGGAGATGGTGGAGCTGTGACTTGAATCCAGGTCGGCTGTCTCTCAGGCCTGTTGATGTTTGCTATTTTTGTGCACTGATTCTCAAGTTCATCTCTGTGTCTCATCCAGTGGTTCTTCTTCTGAAATGATTCTGTTCCCTGAGGGACATTTGTCAAGCTCTGGAGACACTGTTGGTTATCACAGTGGGAGAGGGGAATGCTACTGGCACCTAGTGGGTAGACAAGGCAAGAGTGACCTGGTCCCAGAATATCAAGAGTGTCCGGGGCTGAGAAAGCAATTTAAACCAAAAAGACATGTGAGACCTGGGCCCCAAATCTCAGCAGGTGAGAGCCAGAGAGGGAAGGAATTGTTCTCTTGGTAGTTACCTGTGTCTTTGTAGTTGTTTCTTAGTTCTTTTCTTTCCCTGATGCTTTGAGGAAAAAAACTACTCTTTCCTCCGCCTTTCTTCCTGCCCCTTTCCTGTAGCCTCTAGCCATTTTAGAAATGTTTGTGCTGGCTTGGAGTCATCCGGCCAGTGTTTACGAATGATCTCCCCTTGGCCTCTGCCACCGCCTCTGTGTTACTAGCTCAGATCAGAGCGAGCCCTCAGAGGAGAAGACTTCCACGTCGGGCACCTGCTTGTGCATGGGGTGAAACTCCATTTTTGCTACCTAGAGAGAGGCCTAACCAGGTGAAAGGGGGCTGAGTGCCTGAAGATCACCCAGCAGGGCCAAAGGCACCCAACGGGCCGTTATGATCTCTCAGGTAAATAAATACCCTTTTCTGAAATTGTCTAAAGCTTTATTTATAGAAGGGGCCCAAAGAGCTTGGAATGAATCTGCTTAAGAAGCTCTTAGCTCTCTGGCAATCCTCGCACAGGGGAGTGACACACTTTTCAATGGTTTCCTCTGCCTTAATGATGCTGTGGGCAAAGTCAACATGGCCCCTCCTGCACAGGAAGGAGGATGGGGAAGGAGCTTGTCTCTTTGTGGGAGATGGAGAGGGAAATGCCCCAGCTCTCTCAGGTGTGTGACACCTTCCCACTCCTGGGCTGCCGCTGGGTGGGTTGTGGGAGAGGTGGGTGCTTGGCCACCCTTAGAGAACTGTTCACCATCCCCAGGGAGGGAGCAGGCAGCCCCGCAGGCCAAGGGCTGGGTGGGCCACCAGCAGACTCCGGTTTACTAATTCATTCTTAAAAACTATTATTGAGCCATTAGTGAACCCCAGGAAATTTCCCACAAAAATCCTGGTTTCCGACTTTGAATGTTTTTCTTTCTTTTTCAAGAGTATTGAAGTTAATATTTGACGATTGCTCCCATTCGCCTTTCCATTGACCAGGGTCCTCACCACATCCTCTTCCCTGAGTACTGGCCTCTTCGTGCAAGAGCTCTGGTCTGAGGTCCCTGCAGCATGTGCTGATTCACCTTCCTAGAATTAAAAAAAAAAAAAAGAAAAAGAATAAAAAGGGAGGGGGTTGCATGATTCTAGAGTTAGACTAAGTAATTAAGCACCCTTGGCCTAAGCCATCAGGAACCTTCCTGGGCAGGAGGCACAGGTGATGACATAGGGTCTGTGTGGGAAGGTGAGACTTCAGAGTGGCATGAGAACAAGTGTGTGAAGGCAGGGACAAGAGCTTGGCTCCTGTGGGCAGGTGAGACTGGGAAGGGGAGGGAGATGCAGTCTCAAAATCAGGAGCACTCTAGTACCCAGGCCACACAGGCCCATGGCTGCTGCCCCTCTGGGCTGGAGATTTCCTGGGGTCAGGGAGGAGCAGGAAGCTTGGTGCACCAGGCCGAGAGGTCTACCCTCATTTTTTCCTTATCTCCTCCTTATAACTCAACCCAATGTCAGGTCTAACGACTCAGAGTCCAGTACGCAGGTTGCGCAGGCCCCAGATTCCGGCAGTACATGGTGGTGAACAGGAAAATCCAACTCAGTGTCTCCTCTAGTCTCACACAGACATCCTCACAGAAGACTTTGGGGACCCAGTGTGTGGAGGTCTTTTCCTACACATCAACCCCGGCGGTTGATTCTGAGGCGACACCAGCCGACCGTCCTTCAGTGCCATTCACTTCAGTCTGATTCAACTCGATCCTGACACTACCTACCTAGAGACAGCATCCGATCCCACAAGTTGAGGGCTCCGGTCCCCAAAGCGGTCCTCACCCCCCACTTCAGATGCCAGTTGGAAGCCCCAACTTGTGGCCTGTGCTTCTGACACCCTGGCTCTGAATCAGGGTTCCCACCACCTTCTCCTTGTGTTTGATTCATCTGTTGGAGTGGTTCTCAGAATTCAGGGAAATATGTTTACTGGTTTACTCTGAAGGACAGATAGAGATGAAGAGCTAATACAGCAAGGTAGTGGGGAAAAGGTGCAGAATTCCATGTCCTGCCCAGAAGAGTAGGTCAATACTGGTGGGCTTCCATGTGTGCAGTTTTCTGGAAACTCTCTGAACCCTGTCTTTTTTTTTTTTTTTTAATGGAGAGTTCATTAATTAGGCATGAATGATTAAATAATTGGCCACTGAAGATCAACTTCATTTTCAGCCTCTCTGGTATTTGGGGGACAGGGCCAAAAGTCCTAACCTTCTGATCCTGCCTTGGTGTTTCAGGAAAGCAGCCCCTAGCCCGAAGTGACCTGGGGGCTGTCAGCCATCAGTCAATTCACTGACCTATAGAAAGACATTGCTTTGAAAATTCCAAGGATCTTAGGAATTAGATGCCAGAAAACAGGGATGAAGACTGTATATATGTTTCACAAGATCACAGGTGATCTTTCCCACCCTCTTCTTGGGTGCAGCAAGGATTCAGTCTCCTGTGTTTCCTGCTGCTGGGAAATTGCTTAAAACCCAGAGACCCTAGGGAGGTGATTTCTGTCTGTGGCTTTACCTGCCCAGGAATGGTCAATGGAAAATTCCAGTGAGAGCTAATTAGGAGGTTCTCACCAATGTAACTACAATTCCAGTCCTAAGTATGTGAGCAATACGTGTGCTATGTAAAATCATTTATATGCATTTAAAGCTCAGTTATTTTTATTTATTTATTTTTATTTCAACATCATTCTTTCTGACTCAGCAACTGGATGCCCTTTGGATGCAAACTTCTCACATCTCCATGGGAGGCCAGACTCTCCGGGTAGCAGGAGCTCAAGGGCACTACAGGTATGTCCTCCTCCTGTTTCCTTTTGCAGTTAGAAATGGCTTCCCTCAGATGTAATCTCTTCCTTGGGCTTTTTTTGGGTTTTTTTTTGTTGTTTTTTAAACCAAACTGGCACGCATGAGGCTTCAAGGAAGCCAACTTTGCACTGCAAACTTTGCATTTGCAAAATGGAATCAAATGGATGGGTGGGGCTGTGGGCAGGTGGGGGGTAAGGGGTGCTAGGTATCAACATGAAGTAGCAGAAGGGCACTTGGTTTCTTCATTGGGCAGACCGTGTATCTTTTTGCCAAAGAGAAAAAGAAAGGCTTTGTATCAGCTGGGACCAGGCAGGCAATGGTTAGAGAGACTCACACACTGGAAAACTGTTCATGAGGGTGGAAAAATTCAGAGCCCCAGAAATTGCCATCCTTAGAGATAGACAGTCAGCATGACTGACATAGGACCCAGACTGGTATTGGAAGCACTTTATGTGTTTGAGTCTATGGAAACACATACATGATTCCAGAGACTATTTTTGACTGGGGAAAAATAAATTGCATGTTACAGGATTTGAACAGATTAAAAACATTAAAAAAATGTTCTGCTTCTGCTTCTATTGTGTTGTTCCTTTATCGCTGGTGATTTCTCCTTTGGCTCGCTAACGGGAATGCATTTTTTCTTGATACTGCCATTACCTCTTCCTGCTACTTTCCAGGTCACTAATTTTTCTGCTTAGAGTTCATTCTGTTTAGACCGATATGCTGTCTCTTTTAATGAGGTTATTTCTGGGTTATTAGCCTTCCCGTGATATGATACCTTATGGGGAGGACCTAATTGATGTAAATCAAACACAGCTTGCAGAGAGGGAAAAAAAAAAAATCAAAGTCATCCTTTAGGTATCTGGTGGATCTTGAAGCATCTCAAGATTTCAGTATTTAAAACTAGTTTTTCAACAAGAGGTTACGTGTAGCTAATAACACAAATAAATCCTTTCTCATTCGTAAATTAGCAGGTTCAAAGAAGTGGAAATTGAAGGAGAGCATTGGCATTTTGGTTTGCTGAATAAGCTTTAGACAGAAATGAGACTGAAGACTATCGAGGGGGAGGGGTCTAATGGTACAGTCCAATAAGCTTGCCAACATATTTTTATTAAGGCATTCTTACATAAGCCATTAAGCTTTAGGTTAATTTTTACAGATATTTTCCAGCCGTACTTAACGAAGAGGGATAAAATGAAGCAAAGGGAATTTTTTTTCCTCTAGAACTCTCATAGGTCTCCTGGCGTGCCCTCATTGGAGAGGGATTTCTGGGGTTCCCTGGTCATTGGAGGGGCCTGTTGTTAAGTTCGAATTAGCAAGAGAGGTTGCTTTTTTTTTTTTTTTTCCTATTTTGCCCCTGGACATTAGCTCTGTCACAGGAGATTCTGATGTGCTGGCATATTATTTTTATCTGGAAAGAAAAGAAAAATATGGTTCACTCTCTTTTTTCCTTAAGGTCTTGTTCATTCATTATGTTCTGTATCTGTCTCAGAGAGAAATTGCTCCGTGCCTGAAGAGGGGAGGCCAGCCCCAGCGGTCCAGAGGAAGCACTTGGGAGAAGGGGTTTGTGTGGAGTGGGGGTCTCTTAGCTGCAGGGATATGTGGGGGATGAGGGTTGGGTGGCAGTGGGGATGGTGAAGCCGGCGCCACATCCAGAAGATGCAGCCACTCCGGACAGTCCCAAGGGTCAGCAGAAGCTATGGGAGTTTTGGGATCTGGGTACTTGGGTTAAATGCCAATTTGGCTCATCAATTGCCATATGATGCTGATGGAGAGACATACCTGGTTAAAGAAAGTACCAGAAATTCAAGATGAACTGGCATCTGCTGTATTAACTGTCCTGAGGTACACACTTTGCCCCTGTTTTGGGAAAAAGACAATATCTCCTGCTTAGGTTTGTTTGGGGGAATTCATGAATGTAAACAGAAGCAACATGTGACCTGCCAGAAACCATATAAAATGACTGTTGTGGGGTTGGTTTTAAAGATGACAGTCCCCAAAGTCCAAGGGCAGTGCAGGAGACCGTTGCCCAGCTTAAGGGACAGTGGGTGCTCCATCACAGGGGAGGCACCTCAGGCACTCACTGGGGGGCAGTCTCGGGATGGTTCTTGCTCACTGCCCTGGATCTGGATTCAATCTGAATTCGGAGGTGGAAAAATTTTGAAGTGGTCAAAAGAGGGGACAAGTGTCTTTGTCTCTCACCCAAGGAAAGACAGACCCTGGAGCCTCAAGGGATGCCATTGAGCAGAGTAGCTGGGCCAAGGGTGTGAGCTGTTTCCCCGGACATGAGGCCAGTTTGCACCCAGTGTGACCACGAGGACTTTCTCCCTGCCTGGAGGTGGGGCCATCTCCTGTGGGCCCGGTCATCGCAGGGCAGGAAGCTTGGCTTCTCCGATTCTTTTTTCCTTTTTTGTTTTTACTTTCTTCCTTTCCTTTCTTCTCTCTTTTCCTTTCTTTTCTTCCTCTCTATTATAGCAATTTGCTGCCATAGATCTTAATTTTCCAAAAGAAAAATTCAGAATTTGTGTTCTTGGATCATGGGGAAGGATTCAAAATTCCTCTAGCAGCATTTCCCAAACATTCTCCCAAAGAATTCTGCCATATTCCAGACAAAATGTATCCAATTTTTCAGTAGAGTTTTTTGTTGTTATTATTTTTAATTGGTCCTGGGGAATGAACCCGGGGTGATTTACCAATGAACTACATCCTCAGCCCTGTCTATTTTTATTTTTTATTTTAAGACAGGGGCTCACTAAGTAGCTGAGGGTCTTGCTAAGTTGATGAGGTTGGCCTTGAACTTATGATCCCTCTGCCTCAACAACTGTTGTCCCCAGTTGCTAGAATTAGAGGTGTGCACCACCGTGCCCAGTGAGAATTTTATTTAAATAAACTTCCTTTAAAATTTTCACTTTAAAGGAAAGTTTCAATCAATATACTACCTGGAAATCCCTATCATTTGCCATGAAGAGAGGATAATTCTGAGCTGGATAATGATGTCACTTGCCTCGGTCTACTCTGCTTCACGCAAACTCACATTCACACGTAGAAAACATTGACCAGAGATAGCACATACTCACCACTCATTCACTCTGATAAAATACACACTATGTACGAACATCAAACAATACACAACACAGACGATGCATAAATGCAAGACACAAACACACAGCACACAGCACACACCTGTACTGTACTCACACTTAGAACATAGGATACGAAAAGCACATCACACGTGACACAACCCACATGCACACCATGCACACATACTCACATTGAATATCCATGAGACAGTCTCATACCTAACCCACGTGCACCTAAACCCCCTGCAGAACCCCAAACCACATACTACAGCACCAATGTACAGCACATGATACAATGCAGAGTGCATGTAATGTGCACACAGATTGCACACACTCCATGTATTTCACACACACACACACACACACACACATGCACACACTTAACACTCCACATTCTTAACAAAGATGGATATGAGAAGAAAATCCCCCAGTATTAGCAGCACTTAGGAGGTATGGTGTGGTGGTATTATGGGTAACTAGCATTTTCTTCCTTGTCCTTTTCTATATTGCCTGTCAAGAATGGGGATTGCACTTGAAGCTTTTGAAGATAATCACCATTTCACAAGCTGGTGACCCTTTCTTGTGGCTACCCCCCGCCCCTATGGATCAGCGTCCTGATGCCAGTCATGTGTGTTCCCAGCATGGGGGGGGGAGCCAGAGGGGGGAGGAAGCCTGGAAGACCCCAAAAGGACATCATCAAGTTTGGGCCACTCCACCTCCCCTCAGCCCCCAAACTAGTTTGGCTCCAAAGACACTGGGGTGGGGGACTCAGGAGCCTCTGGCTCAGTTCCCCTCTCTATCCTAGCCCCCCTCCCCACTCCCTCTGCTCCAGTTAGCTTAAGCTGTCTTGTGATCTCAGACTCACCATTTGTCCTGGGCTTGAGGTTGTATTCATCTCTTTGCCTTGATCGTCTTCCATTCTGTGGACATTTTTCCGTGGGTGGATGCCCAACTTCAGATTCTGTATTTCAGTAAATCAATCAGTTACTAGTTATGATTCTGGAACTGTGCTAGGATCTAAAGATGCAGAAGTAAATCTGATAAAAAATCTAGGGGGAAGTTGGTTTCCAAGTTGCTAAATATATTCACTGGCTAAAGTTGCAGAAGCCTGGTGCTCAGACTTAATATCAACTTAGTAACACATATTACTCAAACAGAATTGTGGTTAAGGATGGCAAACTTGTCCCCTGTGTGCTCACACATGACCTCCAGAACATGATGACTTTTGATTTTGTAGGGGTTTTTTTTTCTGTTTATTCTCCAATTTAACTAATTCCTTCTCAAACACCAGAAATATTACTGCTCCACCTTTTTGATGGGGACCCACATTTTCTGCTAGTCCCCTTCACTTCAGTAAGACTTTCTAAGCTCCTTGCTGGGTTCATTGCACTGATATTAGGCATGGATTGTAGGAGGAGCTAAGACCCTGAGACAAAACAAACAAACAAACAAAAAACACCTTTGAATTGCAATGATAAAGTGAGAAACCTGGGGCAAAATATTTTAATCCTGGGACTTCCAAAAATCCTCATTATTTTCCCCGAGTGAGGCTTGAATATGGTGTGAATCTTCATGGAGGTGACAGATGCTACCTGAGGAATAATGCTAGCTTTCTTACACTGTATGGATTTCTTCAGGCTCCAAAGACATCATGGCTATTGGGCATATGGTCCCAGTGCTGGTGATGTCGTAAATATGCTGTGACAGGGCCATGAGCAAGGAGAGTCGTCCACATGTATACCAGATGCACTAGAATCTGGGGCAACAGGGAAGTCTTCTTAGTAGTGAGATATTTAAACTGGAGTCTAAGACTTAAATAAGGGTTGGCTGAGCAAAGACAGAGAGAGGAAAGTATTTCATGCCAAAGGAACAGCATGGCAGGAGGCCCTAGGGGCAGGAAAGAGTGGAGGATGCACAGGACCACAGAGTGGCTCATGGTGATAAAGAGACAGCAGTGGAGGCGGCCCTTGCCCAGGCTGAGAACAGGGCTGGGAGGCAGACCAGGTGGTCCTGCAGGTTTGGATGTTTACTCACAAGGCGATTTAGTACCATTAGAGATACACTTTGAAAATGAATCCAGTGGTATTAAAGGCATCCCGAAACAGGAAAAGTAAGCAACTCCTATCAACCATGCTGGACCTCTCTGCCTCCCGGAGGGCTCTCCATTCTCTACCTGCTCTGTGTTCCTAAGGACCACCCCTGGCTTCCTGTTGGCCCATGAGGAGGAGACTGGAGGAAGTGAGAAGAAAACTCCATATCCATCCAGCTCCACTGCTGAGATCCACCAGGCATCTAAGAAATAAATAATGCCAATCCCAGCTACACTCCTACAGAAACTGGAAGAGGAGAGGATATTTCTCAGCTTACCCACTAAGACCAGAATAGCCCTGATA